ATTCAGATAAAATCAGAATTTTTTTTTACTTGTACTTATGAAAAGTCAATTAGAAAACACTCATGGACAATTGGTTTTATATATGGTAACTACAGAACTACAGAAGTAGTTCTTGACTTACAGCTGTTTGAAGTTATAACAGCACTGAAAATGTATTTATGATGGTGACACTGTCCTGGGGCCATGAGATCAATCACCTTTTCCAACCTTTTGCAATTCCCCATTGATGAGTAAAGGCAACGGGGAAGCCAGATTCACTGAACAACCATGTTACTAACTTAGCTGCAGTGATTCACTTAATTAAGGACTAAGTAAGTGGCAAGAAAGGTTATAAAACGGGGCAAAATGCACTTCACAACTCCTTTGCTTAGCAAATGAAATTTTAGGCTCAATTGTGGTTGTAAGTCGAGGATTACCTGCATACAGAAGTACTCTTAATGAAGGAATGGGTTATAAAGTTGTTGGAGCTTGCAGAAACGGGGTAAAGGAACTTTTTTTTAATTAAAGAAAAAAACAACAAACCGTTATTTTTCTGAAGAACTGGAACCTCTTATGAACTTTTTGCTGAAATTGAATAAAAATGAATTGGGGATTTATTCATCAAAAGGGAGTGTGGGTTATGGGAAGAAAGGAACCATGATATTGGGAAGGTAGAAATGGAAATTACCATAACTGTAACTGCTGCAAAGAAGCTTTAGATTTTTTTCCCTTTTCTTTTGTTGTCTCTCATTTTTCTTTTCTTTAAGACGTTTATTTTTTTCTTTTTCCATAGTCCTTTAATCTTTTAATGAAATATAAAAAAATAAACAAAAATTACATACAAAAAACAGGAGATGGTTGATAACCAAGTTAGAATATATTGGATTATATTTTTATTTTAGAAACTAGATTTTTTTTAAAATATAGTTTATTAATTTTTACAATTAAAACCAGTCACAATACATACACAAATAAGAAAAAGAAAGAAAAAGAAAGAAAAGAGGGGAGGCAGAGAGGGAAAGAAGTGTAGGAAAAAAGAAGGAACCCTTTTCCATATGTGGTGGTCTTATGCAGAAACCCAAAAGTATTGGAAGAAAATCAAAACTTGGTTGGAAGAAATCACAAAAGAGCAGATCGAATACAAACCAGAGTCCTTCCTACTAGGGATTTTTGATAAGCAAATTTCCAAAAAAGCTAAATACATAACAATACACATTTTACCAGTGGCCAGATTAGCCTTCGCTCAACACTGGAAACAACATCAAACTCCATCAGAAGAAATGATTATTGAAAAAATCTCAAAATGCGCAGAAATGGATAAATTGATTTTAGCGCTAAAAAATAAAGACACTTCACTATACTACGATAGCTGGAATTGTTGGTATAATTGGATTGACCAAAGATAAATTATATATCATAAGGCATAAAAGAAAAGTATCAACCCATAATAATGAGGTAGCGATATAAGTAAAAAACAGGTGTGGTTATATGACACAAGTTAAGGTTATGAAAACAAAAGAAGATCTTGCAAACTGTTAAAATAAGAATACTTTTAACCTTGTAACCTCCTCCTTTCTTTCTTCCCCTTTTCTTTTTCTTTCCTTTCTAGAAACTAGATTTTTAATGATACAATATTTGGCTACAGGGGAGGAGAGAAGCTGCAATCTTATCACACTGTTCATTTTTGTACAATGTGCATTTGATCTGATGTATTTGCCTCTATTAAATTTCATTTTGTTACTTCCGGCCCATTTCTCAAACCTGTTATCATTTGGATGCAACTTAAAAACCACCTTTGGCTATTTTTGCAGCCAAACCATACTGCAAAGAGAATATGAATACAGAATATGAATACAAAATATGAATATGAGTCCTTGATTTACAATAGTTCATTTACTGACCATTCAAAGTTACAATGGCACTGAAAAAAATGACTTTATGATCATTTTTCACATGACCTTTCCAGCAACACCATGACCATGTGATCAAAATTCAGACACTTGTCAACTCATATTTCTGATATTGCTATATCCCAAAGTCATGTGATCACCTTTTGCAAACTTCTGATAAGCAAAGTCAATAAGGAAGCCAGATTCACTTAACATCATATTAAGATCATACTAAATATTCTATCCACTTTTGTCTCATTTACCAAACGTGACTATTCCTGCCACCTCCACATCTATATTATTAACATTAATACGGAAGAAGGAAGGTTTCAACTTTCCGGCATCCCATGGGATATCTCCCCAATTTGGTGAAAAATTCTTGAGGAACGTCCCTCACCTACAATGTTTATGTCCATTAAGAAATTATTTAATGGTCATATCATCTAGGTCATTTGTAATGGACAGGCTTGCTAATCAGAATGTCACAGAGCATTTCATCAGATGCTTTGCTGAAACACAAATACATTTTGCCTACAACTTGTCCATAGTCTGCTAAGGAAAGGAGAAAAGGTTAAGTCTGGCAAAACTTGTGCTTGACAACTTCGATGTCTGGTAATCACTTCATGGTTCTCCAAGTGCATACTGATTAATTACTTTACTGCTCTGGAATCTTCTCAGAATCAATATTGGATTGATTGGTCTGCAGTCCCAGGGTCATTTCCCCCGGGTAGGATGTTTGTTGTCCTCTAGTCATGCTGTACTTTGCCCACTTCTCACAATTTGTCAAAGATAATGGAGACTACTATCAACACTGCAAAGTTGAGGGTTTTTTTTTAAACTAAAAAAAGTATTTGTCAAGCAACCCCAAAGGAAGAATCTGTACAGTAATAGTTTTCCTCAAGATGAGCTTGGCTCCTGGTAACTTACAGAGACATATCTATTTAGTTTTCTTCACATAAAGACAAGTACTTTCTTATTGCTTTCTTCTAGATGGTGTGAGCTTTTAATTTTTAGTCTGGGTTAACCTCATAGATTTACCTCAGAAAACGTACTCATTTTTCTAGTTCAAAGTCTTCTCAGCAGTGTCAAATATTGACCTTGCTGGATATAGAGGAATGTTGATTTTTCAAAAGACTAACACAATTTTACACTAAGGCACAAATAGAAACCCTGGAGTACTATTTTCAATCAATTAATAAAAAAAACCCTAAACATATTTAAAATTCAGATGTAAACTAAAGTAAAAGGGGGAAAAAAATCCAACATGTATTTTTTAAAGAATCAAGCTTTGGTACATTGAAACTTACTATAAACCGGTAAATTTAGAGCAAATAGTTTCGAGAGTAAAGTGATTACTCCAGTAGTAGCAAACAGGCTTTACAGGAAATTCAGATCTCCGAATACGGGTAAAAGTATGTTTAACATCGTGAATGGAACTTTAATTTTCACATTTGCAGAATTGATCGCCACAGCAATAAAAAGCGTCGAAATCCACTTCAATCAACAAATGGGTTCCAGCTCTCACTACTTGATAATTTAATACTTTTATTTTCTTTTTAGACTTCTTACGCCCCCAGAGTTCACTTCAATCGGTACAAAAGGAAACACTATCCAAGCGATTCCACCTGGCCGATCCCAGCTTGATTAGAATCTGCAAGGCGGGGAAGGGGTCCCTAAAGTGGAAAAAGAAAAGGACCAGAATATTTTTTTTAAAAAAACATCTACCTTTTATCCATTTTCCCGACCGTAGTTGTATAAAACCCATCTGGCTAAGCAGCGCCCATTATTGCAAACGGAGCGAGAGGATGAACGCAGGGCGTAGTTCAAACAAGGTAAAATGAGAAGACAATTCAAAGGAGGAAGAAAAAAGGCGTTGCAAATGTCAAGGTATTTAAAAAAAAAAAAAAGCCGCGAGGAGGATTTCGGCCTTCGTGCGATTTGGCAGTCTCATTTCTAAGCAGTCGAGAATCCTGGAATCAAGTTGCTTTTTTTACATCCAGGTAAGAACCAGCGGGCTTCAACAGCGCCGTTAACGCGGTTGCTCCATATCTAAACAAGGCGCGTTTACTTGAAAGTGAATCCCAATGAGTTTCCGCGCGAACTGGCATCCAGAGACCTTTTCCACACGTAGCCGTCCAAGCGCGGGGCCTTACCTCAAAGCTGGAGCCGCCACGTGCTGTCCGGGAGCCGAAGCCAGCCAGTCCCTTCGTTCCCTTTTGCCGACAAGAGCTCCGCCCTTCCTGCCTTCCCAGCCATAGAAATCTCGCATCGCGCCGGACCCGCCTCCCGCGAGCTCCGCCATTGGCAGCCCCGAAAAAAAAGGCGGGGCCAGGCTGTTGTTATGATAAAGAGCGGCTCCGCCTCCGCCTCGTGGGCGAAGAGTTTCGCCGAGCCGGCTCCTTGTTTTCTCTCGCGCTCGGCAACTCTTTAAACGGCTCTCGGCGGAAACCGCATTTACATCCCAGGCCCCGCCTTTTTCCTCCAGGGCTCGTGCGGGCCGCTTAAAAAAAAAGAAAGAAAAAAAGTTAGCTCCCAGGCTCCGCCTCCCCGCTTTACTCGAAGACGTCCGGTGCCTTTCTCGCCCCTCCACACCCTCCCCCTCCCTCTCCTCAGGATGAAGGGTTTGATCTAAGGCCGAGCCGGTCCTCCTCAAGAGTCGAAGACCCCAGTTCCTCACGACGCCACGCCCGTCGGATCCCAACCCCGCCCCTTTCCTTCTCCACCCGAGCCCCTCCCCCACTCCCGGAGCCCATCTGTTTTTCCGGCGTCGAATGCTTAGCAGAGCGCGCGCTTGTTTTTTTTAAACCGTTGCCTGGACCAGGCAACAGTTGCGGCGGCGGCGGCGAGCTGAGGCCAAAAGGTGGGGGTGGGTGGGACGAAGAGATGGGTCTTGGCGGCGGCGGCCCCCGCCGAGAGCAGCGCCGCCTTCGCTTGCCCTAGAAACCCCCCCAAGCGAACGGTGGAGGAGGAGGAGCAGCAGCAGCAGCGGAGGGTGAGGAGGCGCCAACCCGGAGGAACCCCATGCCGAGAAGCGGGCGCTGAGCAGGCAGCCGTGGCTGCTGAGGGGGAGGAAGAGGGCAGTTCGGTCGCAGGAAGGGAGGAGAGCATCTCGCGCCGCGGGCCCGGAGCGAGATGTGTCCGGAGGAGGACGGACGCTGCGGCGATGGAGCCGGAGGGGTCTCGGCGGCGACGGCTATTACTTCAGCCGCGATCGGAGGAGCGGAGGGCTCGACGGCGACCTTCAGCGCCGCCGGGTCGGCCGCGGAGACGAGCGTCCTTAGCGAGCTCCGCTCCTGGTGGGAAGTGCCGGCCATCGCTCACTTCTGCTCGCTCTTCAGGACCGCTTTCCGCCTGCCGGACTTCGAGATTGAGGTGAGTCGCGGGACTCTGAAGGGAAGGGGAAAGGAACGCGGCCGGAGCCGGACGCGTGCTCGGTGGAAACGGCCGGCCCCGCAAAGCGACCCCGCCGGCCTCTCTCCCGAAGGAGAAGCGGTAGGGCAGGACAATACTTTCTGTCCTTCTCGGCGCAAAGGCTGGATTGGGGAAGGGGGGGGGGGGCGCCTGCCCGTCTGTCCCCACGTCGCACGGTGGGGGAGGGGAGGGTCAGGATCGCGGACATTTCCACCCCCTCCCCCACCGTGCGACGTGGGAGGACAGACGAGTAGGTAGGGCTTCTTCGCCAAAAGTTGGGGTCTTCCTTTTCTTCGGGGTTTTTCTTTTTTTTTTTGAACGCCTTTTTAATGAAAGTGCTGCCGCCGAGGCGGTCGGAGATGGTGGCGGCGTTGGTGTGAACAATGACGAGGGGAGCCGAAAGCCCCAACGGGCGAGGGGAGGGGAGGGGAGGGGAGGGGGCCTTGCTCCCGGGTGAACGTGCGTAAACACTGACCTGCGAAAGGCTAGAAAGTGGGCAAGCCGTTTTAGCAGTTGGATGGAGAAGGGGGAAAACGCATCTCGCGGACACGGAATAGTGCCAAACAATAGTTTGCCTTCTGTTTTGTATTTACTGTATCGCTTGATTTGTTTTTTTCTTCTTTAAAGCTTATTTCTTGGTGGGAGAGGTTTGATCCCACCGGTTCTCCCCTCCCCCGCTTCTCCCGCCGCCAATGAAGTGTCACAGTTGGCGAGGAGGATCCTTTCTTTATAACCCCAAGGGATCCTTATTTGTTCGGAGCCAGGATATGTGTGTGAAGACTTCAGCTGCCTTTTGAAAACCAAAGTAATGCCTCTGTGTGTGTGTGTGTGTGTGTGTGTGTGTGCATCTTGATTATCTCTTCTTTATCAGTTCACTGAACAAGCTGTAGAGATGAGTAGAGTGGCTCTGATTCGAAAGTCTTCCATTTTGCTGTTCTTGCTCCTTTTAAAGTTTTGCTACCAGGTATTTAAAAGGAGGTTTCCATTTCAAAGAGAGGAGTTTCCATCTTATCTCTCTGGTGGCCTGAGATCAGTTCAAGGGTTTGAAAAGAGTTTGCTTTGCTTCCATTATTCCTGCAGGGAAAAGATGGGTAGGAGGGAGAGGAGTTTTGTTTTTTCATGGAGAGAGGATGGTGCTTGCTCCCTCCAGGTTTTGTGACAATCAAGCTGTAGGCTTTGTGGCAATTGAGCAGGCGGTGCGGTTCTCCTCCTTTTCTCTCTTTTAACTTTTAATGTTCTCTGAAGTTTAGACTTCATTTTCATAGGAAAGCAGCACATTGAAATTCATTCAGTTGAAGTTGAGAAATCTGCTTAGCAGCTAGTAAGATGGATAAACACAATTGTTATAATAGTGAATTACTGCAGGATTTACATTGGACAAATTACTGTTACCTATTGCTTTTTTTCTTAAAAAAAACACCTGGGATTTTGTCTGTTTATTCCAAGGTTTAGAAAGGGTGTTTTTCTAGCATTGCTCAGTTTGTCCAGTATCAGTCTTAAAAATACAATACTGTGCACTTAATTTTACTCGTAGAAAGTACATGAGATTGAAGCAGTGGTTTAATTTGATTTGTTGCACAATTTTACCAATACCTAAAGTAATTAGGTCAAATGGAATAATATGACCAGGATATGTGTATGCAGACCTCCCAGAGGCCTTGTGTCATTTTCCAAGATCTTAAGTAGCTTAGGCCAATGTGATTAAACCTGAGTTTACCATCTGTTTACAACAGACACAATAAGTTTAGTGTCTCATTTTCTTTTCAACTTTTAAAATGTGTATGATAAGATCCTGTTAGGCTGTCTTCAAAGCCTAAGAGAAACTCAGTGAAATGTAAACATATTTATATAATTGCTATTTTAACATAGCTATTCATTAAACTGGCATAATATACGTACTCTGTGCATAGCATTTGGAATAAAGTTAAAAATTTATTCCCTAAAGGTTGTTTAAAATGGTAGCATTACTAGAGATTCAGATGTGTGATGATAGAAAAACTATTTTTAGCTGAATGATAAGGAAGGCAACATTGAAAGTTGAGGCTGGGTTACCTTGTTTCTGTATATATTCAGGGTTGTTGTTTTTGTAACTTGCCCTTGTTGTGTGCTATTTATAAAACTAGAATATATTCTGATGTTTAGTTATGGGGTCACACGTGTTTATGTGTCCCTGCTGAAATGTGTTTGAGCAGCACACGCAACCTAATTTTCAAAATGTAGTGCAGGGAATAAAATATAAATTGTGTTAGAATTGTGTTAGCACAGTATTTTTATGCCTAATTTTAAAATCAGTCAAATCTATCTTGCCTTGTAACCTATGTAACTGTGATTGACATAGACTCAGCAGTAAGATATAGTTAATGATTGTGAGTATAATGCCTTGGTGTGTATTTTGAATGTAGATACAAGGATGTATGTTCAGGTTTAATTTTATTTGGCCTTATATATTAGTTTTAGTTTGAGTTCATCTTTGGTGAGTTAAATATTGCTGTGTCATGTTTGTAATTTTCAAAGGTAGTCTGGATCTTCTTTCCCAAGATACTCAGTACAGCAGGATGTGAGAATTTCTACAACCCCTTTAACAGGATGTGAATGTAGAGGGAGGAGAGAATCCCTTATGCAGTGCTAAATTTCTGAAAGGGTAAATTATCTTCCAGTGATAGTACTTCTTAGCAAAAAGAACTCCTCCTCTATCTATTGATGTGGACTCTTAAAAGAAATTTCCCTGTCCAAGCATATGAAGCAGGGGGAAAGATCTTGAATTTACAATGATAAAAGGCAATTGTACTAGCCTTTCACCTTTGGAGGCTGAAGTGGCATCTGGTTTGTTTCACAAATAAGTCAGTTTGGACTTCAGTTCCTCAACTTTCATACCAAGGAGGAACATCTAAAGTGGTCTGGAGGGATTATGCATTTCAGAGGGAGATGAGGAAGGATGATTTGTGATGCACCTCTTCGTTCTTAGTTTATTTTCTTTTAATAAAAACATACCTACAGATCTATATTTTCTTATATTGAATATAATATTTTTAAAATAAGAACTCTGTGAAAAAGAAGCTGTTTATTAATGAAATTAAGTTGAGAATGTAATAGAAGCGTTATGCTGGATTTCTATATTGAAATATATTTGGGCAATAATATAAGAGAATGATGATTTGAAAAGAGGGTACTGGGAGAATTTAGCTGTGAATTCTTCTGGGAAAATATATAGATGGGACAAGCGTACAAATACTTGGAAAGTAGTGGAGTGAAGGACTGAATTGCTGTTAGAAGATTGTCAGACTAAAGCTTCACATCACCACTTGATCAATTAATGTCTTTATGTGATCCATCATGATTTATATGTTGAAGATGCAAACACTTGTGCTTTTTTGTTAAGGATCAGTATTGTAAAAAGCTATATATGTTTTTACAATATTGTTATTTACTTCAAGAACTTCAGATGTGGATAATGTTATTTCATTACACAACTCTCTTATTTCATGGTTACAAGTTCCAGAAAACAAGAGCACTGAAAAAAGTGACTTATGACTAGTTTTCACACAACCTTGGAGCAGCCCCACAGTCATATGATCAAAATTCAGATACGAGAATTCGTTCATACTTATGATCTGTTGCAGTGTTCTGGGACCGGGTGATCACTTTTTGTCATCTTCCGACAAGCAAAACCACTGGGAAACCCAGATTCAGTTAACAACTGCAATGCTTTGCCAAACAATTATGACAAGAATGGTTGTAAAATGGGACAAAATTCACTTAACTTTCACTTTGCAACATAAATTTTGGGTTCAGTTGTTGCAAGTTGAAGATAACTAAGATTTTTTTTCATTGTGACATGTTTTTCAAGAGTTTTAAGCAACTTTGATGTTTTTTTTTCCTTTTGTAAATTTGCATTCAATATTATCAGAAGAAACGTTGAATGATTTAATTATATATTAAGATATGTTATTTTCATATACATTTTGATTAATGATCAGTTGCTCACCTATATTCTGGAAATGGAAGACCCAAAATTTATATGCACAATTTCTTTTCAACAAATATCTATGATTCATGGTTTTTCTATACGTGATTTGTAAGAGATTTTGATTATGTTGTTCCACAGCTTAAGAATGTTTGGGAGATGCATGGGAAGTTTAACAATAAAAGCAATCAATGTGGACAATTATAACCTAGCCATGCACATTCTTGATAATTTGGGGTGGCTTTAGATTATGGGTATTGCTAAATACTACTAAGAGGTTTGTAGTATTTGTGTAGGCTTAAAGTGCTTCCTGATTTGTTTGTCCAGCCTAGGAGTGTTATCTTCAGTATTGTACCTTTTGAACTCAGGGCTTAGAAATTCGGTACATGGACATTTCCAGAGTGTTTTGCCCATGCATATATGGTATTTTTCTAAATTCTTCATTTGTATTCTGTAGGATCTACCCTCACATAATGAGCATGATTTTTATACTAGTTTTCCAGAGCACATACTTGATAAGTTATGTAGCACAATGATGGTAATCTCCCAATCTTCTTTTGCTATTATTTTAGTATTGTGAAACAAGGATAGCATGGTCTGCAGTCTGATCCCATGTATCTTTCTCAAAAAAGTGCTTTATTTCCTGATTCTTATATCTCATACTGCTGCCTTGGAGTAGATAGCAACCTTTAAACTGCACCAAAAAAGGGAACCATAGGAAAAAGACTCCACAAATTCACATTAATATATCCACAATTTTTGTCAGAAGAAAGCATTTTAAAGATAGCAATAGAACTTAGATTTATATACTGCTTCTCAGTGTTTTACAGCCCTCTCTAAGCGGTTTACAGAGTCCGCATATTGCCCCCAACAAGCTGGGTCTCTATTTTACCAATCTTGGAAGGATTGACAATTTTTAATCCTTAAATTTTAAAGATGGGCAATTGCCTTGTGAAACAATGACCAATTGCAACATTTATTTTGTAGATTTATGATG